CTGGAGCATACCGCAGCGCTGGCCTTGACAGTGGCGGCAAGGCTGCACCCACACAGTGCGGTTCTCTGTGTCTCTCTCGCTCTCATAGAGTTTTCCGTAGGAGTGAGAGAGACAGAGCGATGGTACGCACTGTTCGGAATCTGGCAGAGATTAGGCCACCCACACCGGACACTAGCGTGTGCAGAAATCATGAAAAAAAAAGAACGGGTTGGGGGTGAAGCTATTTGTTTGCCTACCTTCTGGCGGAATGTATCACTATTTGTCTACTTTCGAGGCTTTTCCACGAGAGAAGGGCATTCTTTTCTGTACGCTGTCTAGTGCCAAAATGAGGAGCCATGAAGCCCCTTACCACCTCCTCCTCCCCCTCCCCCCTTTTTCGTTCGAGGGGCTGTGCTGCTGTGAATGCAGTGACGCACACCCGCGACCCGCGAGCCGAAAATACCAAGCAGATTGTAAAGCCGTGGTGTCGATAAACGATATCGCCTTTACTCCATGCCACTGCTGCCGCCGCCGTGGCCGTGCCCAGCGGCGTGGCCTGGCGTGGCGCACCCGACCGGGGTACACTACACTGGTGGTGCACAGCATCTCGCTGGTTCCGCGAGGCGTTTTGTCGTTCTGTCTCTCTCGCACCTACCCGTCGCCTCATGTGAATGAGAGTGCAAGAGAGGCAGAGCGATGAAAACGACTCTCGGAGTCAGTCTGCTGCCTGGAGATATTGGCAGTGGTCCAAGGGTGGTCCCAGGCCCAAAACGGGGAAGGGACATGTGCCAGGGGAATGCCCAGGTCCAGATGATGCGCCCTTGAGAGTGGTCTTCAGAGTCAATCCGCAGAGTACACAAGTGTTTTCTAACATAAAAGTTGAATTAAATTAGGTACTTCGTGCCTCCGTGCCCCACCCCCCTCTCCCCCTCGCACGAACCGATACCGCCCCGGACACACGGGCCGCTCGCGTCACTGGCGGTGTTTTTCTCTCCCCCAATCAGCGTGTCGTGTTTGCGATTACGTTGCCCGGCCCTATTACGAGCACCATGTCTCCCGCGACGAGCGGATCAGTTCAGCGGGGGGCCGCGGGGTCAGGGGTCAGGTCACCGACGAGGAGCGCCGGCTGGGAGTGTGGGAGCCAGCAATCGAAATTCTCACCTCTGTGGTGGTGAAAATCGAAATTCTCACGACCTTAGTGGTGAGAATCGAAATTCTCACGACCTTAGTGGTGAGAATCGAAATTCTCACGACCTTAGTGGTGAGAATCTCACGTGCACGCCCAGCCGACCGCGGCACGAACTGCGCACTGATCCGATGTACAAGAAAAGCTGACTTGGATCGAGGCTGCTCAACTTGCCGCAGATATAGAACAGTCACCGTCGAAAAAATTAAAACGTAGTGTGACCCATTTTCTTTTTTGTCTGTTCGATCTAGTCGTAGTAAACAAGCCACCGGGATCGCAGCTAGTCTTATCGATGCTCTCGAGCACGGAAGGACCTGTGCGTGAGCGCGGCTTAGATTCCGGTGTAAGCCCCTCGAGGTGATAAATAGTGGGGCCAAACAAAAACTGATCATGTTTTTTCGGACTCGTGTCGTTTTATTCGGACCTATGTTCTTCTGCCGCGCGTGGCCGTAGCTCTCATCGCGGTATTTGCGAATAGAATCATCTTCGCTGTCATGTCTTCTGCAGAGGAGTACGCGGACTCGACGAGTGCGAGAGAGACCAAGGGCCTCACGCCGAAACGGTTCATATTATCTTTTTGAGGCAGTGGCTGGCACGAAACCTCAGAATCGGCTTTTTGCTGCACGCCCTGTGCGTTGGAGTTCAAACGCCAGCTGTATCAACCGAACGACTAGCCTGGTGGCGATGCATTTCGAATCACCGTTTTTCAGGACAAAGGCTGGTTTGCTCTGGCAGGCAATGTCCTCGAAGAGTAATTTCGACGCCCCACAAACTATTTCTGATGCCCCATAGAGACTTTTTGATGTTCCACCATCTGGTATCCCACAGCCTATGTTTTATGTCCCCCAGAAAATTTGTAATTTCCTACAGAGTACTTTTCATGTCCAACTGACTATTTTTGAAATCCTCATAAATAAAAATTTTAACGAATCTCTTATAGTTAGTTCAAAATTACCGCAGAAGGACACTATGGAATTAAACGCATCATCTGCTCTCATATTTGAGCTTATCTCGCTCAGTTAACCTTCTTTTTTTTTAAAAAAAAAAAAAGAAAAAGTAACAGGAACCGTACTTTTTTTTTTTCAAGAAAGTCATTTCTTGCGTGCAGTACGACACTGTGCACTGTGTTTTTCATTTCGCTGATGTAAGCCTAACGACGGCCATCTCCTCGATCGTCGTCGACACTGGCAAGCCTGGCACCACGTGGCCTGGTGTGGTATGGCTTGAAAAGAGAGGGGGGGGACAGAAGCAGCTTTTGTTTGGAGATAATGCAATTGATTAGTATTATATTTGCCGCGCGCGGTGGACTCTGACCCGCCACGTACGAATACGAGATACCGCCACCATATCAGCCTCCCAGGGGGTCTTCGAACGCGTCGAAAACCTTTTGAAACGCGTTTCCTGAAACAAACAACCCGTGGGGGATATATGTATTGAGTTACAGCCGAGGACCGAACCTTTGTTCAGTTATCGAGCAATTATAAATTGGGCAACATCCAGCCAAACACGTTCACGGGTACGGTTTACTTCTGGATCCATTGCTGAAGAAGCTCACGACAGAAACTATATACCGAAAGAATTTCGATTATTTCATTGAAGGATTGGCTGGTGCAACACAACTTTCAACTCCTGTCCATCTTCGTCAGGATTTCAGACCAAATTTCAAAAAAATTCTTTTTGCGCTTGTGCGTAAAGTCTCACACAATTTTGCGCACGCGTTCATTTAAGCTCAAATTCTCGCGAAATTTCGGTTGACTTTGTGCGATTTTACGTTAAATTTCCACACGCACTGAATTCTGGCCGCATATGTAAAACTGCTGTTATTTCGTTGGTAACGTAATCCGTGCCGTACAACGGTCTCCTTTGTGCTGGCCCGGACTACGGACTGGCGGTTCGGTGGCGGCAGGCCCTTGTTTGCACGGGGAGGCGCGCGGGGTGGCCGACGATGGCGGAGTCCGTGGGTCCGCGTTCACGACGAGTACCTCGTTGACCTCCGCTGGGTGTGGGTGCCAGTGCCGGATCCAGAGGTGGCCTAAAAAGGGGGGAGGGGAGTTCAAAGTATCACTTTTTGCCTACCTTTCAGGCGAGTCAAGAAAGGTCAAAGAGAGGACAATTGTCTTTTTTTGACCCCCTGCTCCTCCTTCTCTCAATACGCGCTTGCTCGGTGCACTGTTAGTTTGGCCTCGGCGGCGCGGGCCTGAGGCCGACGGCACGGGACGCTTCTGGACGCGCGACGTTATCTCTCAGCCTCCGGCTCGTCTTGCAAGTCGCGATAAACCGAGAAATCGAGAAATCGGGAACGATTTGGAAGAACGGTGCAGTGTGCGCATAGACATTTCAGACCCTCACCCCTTGCCTTGTGCAGAGTGCAGACACTATTCCGACTTTGTTTTTGAAATTGCACGAATCCGCTCCGTTACTGCATTTGTTCAATTTTGTACGGTTTACTGTGCCTGTACGCCCCTTGCGGCACCTTGCCGCTGCGCCGTGCGTGCAGGCAACCCAACGGACTGGGGAAGGCACCTGGGCTGCGCGTTGGGAGGCCTACCTCCACGGCGGCGGTGGTCGCGGCGCGCCGCCGGTCCACGCTTCGCCAGGTGAGTTACCGGACTCGACAGTGGCGTGGCGTTCCGGTTCCGAACCCCCCAGGCCGTGCGATTGTCGTTGTGGCTCTCGCCTCTCACGATAAGTCAAGTTTTTTTACACTCCACGGGGAAGATGACAAAAACGCGGCCGTCGCGGCAACATCGCGACATGGCCGCCTGTCTTCCGGACGAACTGCATCGCGAGGAGCACGCCGCCAGCACGCCGCCAGCACGCGCCACCCTGCACGCCGCCCTGCCGCCAGGCCGCACAGTCGCACGGCCAAATAACGAAAACGACAACAGCAGCAACAACCATAATGGCAGTATACAGTGGGGCGGTGCCGTGGCGTGCCCTGCGGCCGGGCCGGCCGGGGTGAAGGAACGCCTGCAAAGCGCGGGGCAGCAGGCACTTGATGCGGCGGAACTCTGTCTCTCTCGCACCCCCACTGTGGGACGCACGCCCCCTGTGAGTGCGAGAGAGACCGCAGAGCGACAAAAGCCCTGTTCGGAATGGGCCAGCGACCAGCTCGAGGACCCCGGCAACCTAGCCGGCGGCAGGCAGGCAGGCAGGCAGGCAGTCACGTGACCGAGGCCCAGATAACCGTCCATTTTTGGGTCACACGACTATTTTGATCGCCGCTGCTCGCCATGTGCGCGTGCATGTGCCGCGGCACGCGGGGAGGACATGGCCGCGGCTGCATTGTGTGGAGCTTTGTGTGCTGCAGGGTCGACGACCCGACCGGCAGACCGGACTCCAGGTTTCGCTATTCGGTTTAGAAATGAATTTCTCTGAGGTTTTCCGAGCCCATGGGCTTCCAAGTCCGTTTATTGTACTACGTAGTTCGGAATTTTGACTTCTAAGCTTTGTGTCCGTTCTTTTCTCTGAAAATAATTGGCCATGAGACGAAGGCTACCTGCTGTTGATAGTGTTGCCACGTTGAGTAGGAAAATATTGCCCACTATGCCCATCAGTGTGCGGAAAGGGTTCCTGCCTTAGGCTATACCTCTGGACTCTAGAGTCTGCAGTATAAATGGACTTGGTCGCAAGAGACTCCCCAGGCGGCGACGAGAGCTTCTCCGTGGCGCTAGGCAACCCAACGGGCGTTCGTGCGGTGCGGACTAATGCCGCGCCGCGAGTGCAGGCAACCCATCTTTCTCCTCCGCCAAATGGGTTTAGCGATAGATGTGCTACTCTGTGTGTGTGTGGGGGGGGGGGGGGGGAGGGAGGGGGGAGGGAAGATAACGACCCGTGATTATTTCTTACGATACTTTTATTTTATCTCACTATAAATAAAGTATTGGTAGCAAATTTATCTTCAGTGGGATACACAAAACTTATCACGTATAGGAACGCAGCAATTTTCTCGCCTCTCTGAAAATCACCCCAAGACTCTGTACAGCAATTTGTGAGCATGGGGAACCTACATTTCGGAAGCAAAACAATGAGCGAGAAACTGTGGAAACTCTCAGCAGGAGTAAATCCAGTTTCGTCACAACGTTCAATCTTTTTTTAAATTTTAATTTTCATAAACGATTTGTTGATGGCCGAGTTAGTACTCTTTTCTTGAGAATCGTTCGACTCTTATCTGCAAGACTCGTGTCAAAGGGCGATAAAATTAAGAGATCACTTATCAGAAAGAAACTCTACACCCTCTCCAACCCTAAAACTACCCCTTCTTGTTATTTCACTGCAGAGAACCTTTCAGTCTCAATAAAAATAAAGGAATCCCCGTGCGCGACTACAGTGGCAAGGGACTCCTCAGCTTAAAATTATAATTACATACGCATGCGGGACTTTCCATATCAGGGGAAAGGCCACGATGCCTTACAGGGATCAAAATAAATTAACTTAAAATACGTCATGATGTCAGCGGAGCGGTCGTCGGGACAATGTTTGTGAGCGAAGTGCGTCGCTGTCTCCGGCCTCGCGAGTGGTGCGGAGCGTTCGACGTGGAAACTTTTCCGCCGGGGCGTGCCGAGCGTGGTCAAGCCTGGCCTAGAGTCCTATGCCTGGCCAAGCCTGGCCAAACCGCCCCTCGGACTCCGCGACTCGCGGACGGGTCAGCTGGCCGTCGGTGGAGTGGCCGTCTCAGTGCCGTCCTGGAACAAGCACGCGCTCAATTAGTTTCGCAACGTTGGAGAACAATCGCGAGAGTGTTGCGTTCTATTTTGTGCCAGAGCAAAGAGCCACGAACAAAAAAAAAAAAAAAATAGCATTCGAAAAGAAAAATTCAATTTTAAAGGGGTGCTCTATACTGGGAAACATATTACGTCAAAACGATCTCGTGTGAACGGTCGAGATTTCATAGAGCACTTTCCTCACAATACTCAGAAAATCGAAGAAAATCAACTAAATTTTAGTCCATTCGATTTATTTTTAAGAGCGAAGCATACCGCCGGATCTGCATAACAAAAAAACATGCTCGGAAACTTATTTGACTGCCATGTTTTTGTGCATGCTCTCGTGCACCGCGCAGACCTATCCAGCTTGGACAGTACGGTAGCAACGCAGAAGAATAAAAAAACAGACACGGTGGTTACACATTTACGACCGTCTAATTGACTATTCTAAAGAAGCTGCTGCGATTCGTTTAAACTTGGAGAAAACTAAAGTCAATGCTGAATACAGCAGGCACATTTTTTAAATATTTTATTTTGTCTTGTCGACACTTACATGATTCACACTGGCGGCTCCTGGCGAAGGAAGCTGTGCACGCCGATTTCTTCTTCGCCTCCTGATTTTTTTTTTTATGTCGTTCGAAACATGGAATGGCATTTTGTCTGGCCGTCGGCAACCGGTCGGCGGTGAAGCGTGGACCGACCGGCTGCTGGGGCCATAGGGCATGAAGAGCGTGACGATGATGGACTTGATGGTGGAGTCGATGGTGGACTGGATGATGGACTCGATGGTGGACTCGATGATGGACTCGATGGTGGACTGAATGATGGACTGGATGGTGTCGCGGCGACTGCTCCGGTGCTGCGCGGCGGCGGCGGGGGCGTCGTCGGGGGCCTCAGTGTTCCGCGCACGGGCACTCGGCGGGGGCGCTGGCGGTGCTCAGCGCGCTCAGCGGGGGCGTTCCCGTGGCCAGCCTGCAACAGGGAAGCGGAAGAGTGAGCGCTTGTCAGTTAGTCAGCGCGCTCAGCGGGCCGCGAGGAGGCGCCTCCAACGGCAGAGGAGCACGCGAAGAGATTATCTCAGTTCTAAACAGCAAAATTTCAAAAACAAAGGAAGAAATTTTAACAGAACAGAACGAATTTCTCCCAAAATATAGAAGAAATTTTAACCAAAAGAATAAAGAAATTTGGTAAAAATTTGAAGGAATTTTGACAAAAAAATGAAGAAATTTTGACCAAAAACTTAAAGAAATTTTGACAAAAACTTGTACAAAGTACGACAGAAATTTAAAAGAAGTGCGCTTTGCACACACCCATACACACACGCGCGCGCGCGCGCGCGCGCCACACACACACACACACACACACACACACACTCAAACAACGACCACAACATAAACAAGAAAACCATAACACGAAAACAACAAGAACTAAATTGGTCTATCCAGTTTTTCGCGGACCGGTATTATTGGCGCGAGCAGAGTGGTCCCACCGAGACGACGACTGTTTAGCGTGTTTCTCTAGATTTCTAGTCCGTTTTCTATTTTTTTATTAGTTTTACACAGTAAAAAGTCTGCTAAGCATCGCTTCCAAGAACGAAAATGAAAGCATTGTAAAATCTGCGAGAAAATGCTATACATTATGATGAAAAATTTCTTCACAATACAAAGCATTTCCTCATAATTCGAAGGAATTCGTAGTTATAAAGCAGATGCGTCGTAGACTTGCTAGAGTGTAGCGTAGTGACGAGAATGGAAACTAATGTTCCACTCAAGTCGCAGTTACCACCGGAATTAATTTTTATGTCATTGTCTGGCCGGCCCGTCCGCCATAACGCCTCAACGCGTAACCGGTCGCTCCCTTCTCCCTTGACACGCGGAGCGATGCGGAGCGATGCCCGCCTTGCCTTTTTCCCACAGCAGCGGCGACCTTTTCCTGCGTCGCCTTTTTTCTGCTTTTTCCCTCTTCGCGACGCGTTCTGCTGCTGAAAATTGCCACCTGCATGTGACCACCTTGTTGTATCACACCCCGCGCCACGGCGCGCCACGCCACGCGTCCTCGACACCACAGGACAAGGTGGCAGAACACGCGCCTACCTGTAATTAGGCACCGACAGTGTAAAACGGGGGCGTGCCAGCGCCACTACACCGTGTGGACGCCCCCCTCCCCCCCTCACACACACTCACACACTTTTCCTTTCTTCTCCCTTTCCTCGTACGGAGCTGCTACTATCTCACCTGAGGCAAGAGGGTCCCAGCATTTTTGAGTCCTTAGACCCCCAGGACCGCGTACGCAAAGCGCAAAGCCGGCGCAAGGCACAAACACAAACAAGGGTCGTCGACGCGCGAGCCGACTCAAACATTTCCAATGTTGTGTTCGCGGTTGTGTTTCCCCGTCCGTCCATTTGTCACCGGGAAACACAACACTGGAAACGTTTGAGAGCGTTTTCCTCGGCGGTCGGCTCGGCGGCTCGGCGTCGACGACCCGCACCGCTCCGGCAAGTCGGCCGGACTCAGGCCAAAAGCGCCAAGGACGCCGGGCGGCTGGCCGGTCCGTTGGCCAGGCCCATTGGCCGATCAGAGGCCGCGCCTCTCATCTGCTACCATTTCGGGGTTTCCGATTGTTTAAAAACAGAGAATCATCCGTGGGCGCCGCACCGGCGCCGCGGCATGACAGCGGAGGAATCGCGAACGGCGTACACTGTAAACCGCGAGCGGCGTCCACTTTAAACCGCGACGCCTCATGAGTGCGAGAGAGACAGCGCGACGTAAACGACTCTCGGAATCAGTTTGGCGGCGGGGGCGGCGGAGCGCCCGGAGGAGGAAAGATACCGATTGGCTGGTGGCAGGCTGATTCCGACAGTCGTCTTCGTCGCTCTGCCTCTCTCGCACTCATGGGGCGTCCCGTATGGGTGCGAGAGGGACAGAGCGACGAAGACGCCTCTCGGAATGAGTCTGCAGGCTTGGCGCCCACGCCTCCGCCTGGCGGCATTAGGGCGGTGTCGCCGCCACCGCGACAGTGCGTCATCGCCGGCAAAACAACGACGGAGGCTTGGACGGAGACGGGGAGACGGCGGGCCGCGGCGGACCGACGCCCCGAGTACTTTTCCAGGGAAATCCGGAAGCGGCGGCGGCGTCACCGCCGAGTCAACGACTCGATCCGCGGAAAAGGCCGCAAAATACGGACGGGACGCGGCGACGCCACTGGAAAACACGAAACCGCCGCGCGGCAAAACAACAAACGCCGCCGTCGCATTGGGATTCCGGTCCGGCGGCGCGGCGGCGCGAGTCAAGCAGAGTCAAGCCTGTCGCCTGCCGAGCGGTTCGGAAGAGTCGTCCCGTCGCTCTGTCTCTCTCGCACTCGTGGAGCTCTCCGCAAGTCCGCATGGGTGCGAGAGAGACACAGCGACAAACCGCTCTTTTCTGAATCGCTCGGCTGGGAGCTGCGCGGTCGCGACCGGCCAGTGCAGAGTAATAGTTACTGTCGACTTACAGAGGCAAAGTGTGGCTCCCCTATAGGTGCGAGAGAGACAGAGCGACGAAAACGACTCTCGGAACCAGTCTACAGCAATGAGTCTCAGGGCCCAGCGCCGCCGCCACGGCAAGCTAGTCCAGTGTGCGTGGGAAGATCGCCCCACCCACAGTAGCCAAAATAACGACAGAATTAAACATTCGCGTCTCGCGTCTCCACCTGGCGGGAAACGGCGCCGAAACTGGTAGAGAAGTCTGGCTTCGGTGGAAGGACATCACGGGTAAACGAGTGGATGGGTGTGAGTTTCTACGGCAAGATCGTGTGTGTTGCGTGCGTGTGTGTATGAATCTATATATGTGTGTGTGTATGTGGGGGGAGTGGGGAATGTATGTGTGGGTGTGTGTACATAATGTGTATACATTTAGTTGTTGTTTTTCGTAATTGTTGTTTTTCTTTCCAAATCAGAAAATGACGGTGCTGGGTCCGCGACGACGCGCCGATTTTGGCCAAGTGCTGGCAATGCTTTTTATAGTCGCTGCCGGTCGCGTCGCGTGCCCCTGATTGCCGCCTGCCTGGCCGGCTGGCGGTAGTGGACTACACGCACACGCACACACCACACACACACACATACATACACACAAGTCCTACGTGCCGCATTGTCCCTGCCCGTTCCTATTCGGGGCGTTCGAGGCGTTCGGGGCGTCCCTGGACAGTGGCGTGCCCGATGGGGAGATACAGTAGTAAATACCCAGCTTCCTCTCGCTGCCCTAGCCATACGGGACGCCCTACGAGTGCGAGGGAGACAGCGCATCGAAAACGACGACCCTTCGGGACCAGGGGGCTGAGGCGGGCCGGGCCGGGCGAGCGCCCGCGGAGTCCAGGGTAGGCCGACCCGCCGCACACGCGCGCTCGACGGGGCGGCCCAGCCCGGACTTCGCGGGCGCTGAGGCTCAAGCTGAAAGCTCCAGATGGTCCAGACTTGAGTGCCTGGGCCACATAGCGAGCCATTTCGGCCCGGCATGAGGTTCTACTTCGAGGGCCGGAGAGGGGCAGAGTCACTGCCAGTGGAGCGGACGGAGCGGACGGGAGAAGTCATCGGCTTTCACTCGAGCCGTCGAGTCCAAGAGCACCGTGACGAAGTGACGAGTCAAGGGCCTGGCGCCGGCACGCCGCGGCAGTGGGCCAGTGGGTTGGCCACTGCACTGCAATGTCACGGGCCGGACAATGCGGGACGCTGCAGGCGCGCCGCCGTGCCGCCGTGCCGCGGGGTCCCAAGGGGTGCGAGAGGGACAGGAATCGCTTTGCTGGAGGCGCGCGACGTGAGGCCTTTCTTTATCGGAAGACAATCGGTCGGTCATTGGCAGTCCGGCGCTGTCTCTCTCGCACTCGCGGCCTCGCGGGGCGTGCCGTCGCGGTGCGAGAGAGACAGAGCGACGAAAAGGCTCTTGACTCGGCCGATGTCCCTTCCTTCCTACGTCCTAGGCGTCGTCCCAGTTCCAGCAGACGAGGCCGCAGAAGCGGCTCGGCTCGCTGCGCCACTGGGAAACGATTGGACTAGCTGGTCCGTATCAGACTATCAAGCGTGGACTGGCTCGGGAAAAGTTGCCATCATAGCAATAGTAATTTGGCCCACCTGGACCACCTCACAGTGTGCACAGCCTGACGGGGCACCGACACCGCGTTGGTCGTCGGCCGGCAAACTATTTCGCTGCCGACCAGCCAGGCACTGTACCCAGAGGAGGTGGCTTTCGGGCAAGAACTCCCTCCGGTCCAAACGCTAGACTTATTATGTCGACAAAGTGGATCCATGCGACCGAACCCCGACTCTACCGATCGAACTTTTTGTTTTTGAGCGTGTTTTTCCCGTTTTCCACTCTAAGTTGAAGGTCGCGTGGACCGCGGAATCGGCCTCGATCTTACTGGAACGATCCCTCTCCCTTCCTCCGTCTCTCTCTCTCTCTCTCTCTCTCTCTCTCTCTCTCTCTCTCTCTCTCTCTCTCTCTCTCTCTCTCTCTCTCTCAGGAGGAAAAGGCGCGTCGCGTGCAGCGGCCTTCGTCGCCCAATAATGACGCGGCGCCGTTTCGGAGCGGTTCGGCCAGAGGGAGGTTCGAGGGGGGGGGGGGGAATACGCTGACTGCGCACCGAGGCGACCGGTAGAAAGTGGTTTCCGCGGCTAAAAGCGGTGTTCGGTGTTCGCGAAGCGTCGTCGTCGTCCCGCGTAGTCCCGCGCGCTCTGACAACCTCTGCGGCGCCGCCCGGCTTTGAACTGGTTTGAGCGCGGGCCGCTTTGGTTTCCTCGGGGAATCCCTCCTGCTTCTCCCCTTTCCCCCCCTCCCCTTTCCACTTCCCCTCTCCCCCATTCCACTCCTCCTCCTTCTACTGTTCCCATCGTATAAATTAAAATTAAAGCGTGTATTATTGTGGCGCCGCAGCGGACTGATTCCGCGCGTCGTTTTTCGTCGCTCTGTCTCTCTCGCACCTGTGCGGGACGCCCCGCGAGTGCG